GTCTCTGGATGCGCAGATTAAAATAGAAAATTGTCAACAATTTTCAGACTCCGTCTGGGCAACATAAAATAAATACCATAATGGCTTTTACTGCCTCGAAGCCGGAACTGCTAACAACACTAAAAATCCAGGCGCAAGGACGAGTCGGCAGGACGTTTGTCTTTCGCATTGTGGATTTCCTTTGCACACCCACGCACACACGCACACACGCTCACTCAAAGCGACAGGAGCCATTGTGCTCAAGCACCGCCCACACACACAGACACACACACACATATATACACTCACATCCGGTGGCCAACTTCCGTGTGTCAAGGAGCGCTCAAGCATTCATTTATGAATTTTTATTATTTTTTATCTTTGCCACCATTCGCTCTCGACCATCCGCACACCTCCCTCCCCGTGGCATGCGACCCCAATTGCCATGTAGTTTATATTGTTTTTTGGGCCACCTGACATCTATTGCTCGAAGTGTCTCTTTGGCGTTGGGGGACTGTGGATCAAAGAGTCGGGTCGAGCGGCTTGCACACAATGTAAACACAGTTTGCAGCCACACGCAATTAAATTTCCGGAAATCGTCTATGCTGAATCCGATTTTAATTAAAATCGTTTTGTGCAGGAAGGAAGCCCGATTTTCAAGTCGGCAGGTAACTGTAGCCACAGTCGGAAAAATAGTCGCATGGCAAGGCACTCAGAAAAAACAACTGTTTCTCCAATCATTGGCAAAAGAATATATATATATTTTTGCTATAATTTATTATAATTATAATTAACTAATTTATCATTTGCTTGCTAAACTCGAGCTCAAGGCTGGCAATTATATTTCTTAACCACGCCGACTTTCAGATATATATAATACATCGGTTATACACCGCAATTACCATTATTCATACTTTTTGTTCGCATTTGGTTCTAAGTGCTTTTTACAAAAGCTTTATATTTCATTTACACATGGACTACATAGTATACATATATGGCACATGTACATATTACGAGCGAATGGAAATGCTGAATAATGAAGCAGTTGCTACGAGGCCATTCAATTAGGTAAATTATTTATTTCTCTGACACATAAATACAAATTTTCAAATAAAAATTTAAAAAATAATACACAGCAGTTTCGTTTGTTTTTCACTGTGCTTGCACAATGCTGACAGACCTTCTGCGGTCGGAAAACCGACGATATCGCAACGCTCGCCGAAAAGCGGAACTTAATCGCTGGCCGCCGATACTCACACATGTGTGTGTAACCAGCTGCCGGCTGAGTAGCGCTAAGCACAGGCAAACACTCGAGCAAACATCACACACCCACACTGATTTCTCGAAACCAAAGCCAGCCAGCCATGAGACCAACAACTAGCAACAAGCCAGGAGCAGCAGGAGCAGCAGGACATGGGCGGCAAAGGTCCTGATGGTGCGGCAGTGGCTACCGTTTGTGGCAGGCGACGCATGGCCTTGTCAGCGGAACAGTGGGCGGGAGGGGGCCACAGATAGACAACCATAAATATGAATGCATGTCCTCAAAAGGCGGATGGGGGGCCAAGCGGGGGCGGAAGGAAGTGGGCGGGGCGGTGGACTGCTGGTCCGGCTTGTTATTTACAGCCGGTTTTCAGAATTTGTGGCATAATTTAAGCACCTTGTTTAGCCACTGTTTATGATCTCTCATGTCACTGTTCCATCTGCAAGAGTGCGTGCACAGGAAGAAATATATTAGTAAGTACGAGTTTGCTTAGTAAAGACTTAATTGCTTAAAACCGCTTGCATTTGACATCAAAATGCGGAAAAATTAGTGCTGCTTAGGTTATTTTTAGCCACAAAAATAGTAATAACTAAACCATTGGTTACAATAGTGCAAGTGTGTTATTCTAATAAGGCTACTGTTTCTCCGAGTGCTTAGAGTGCCTCTCGTTAAAATGCTGCTTTTACTTTTGGGGTCACGGGGTCAATGATGGTCAGCGCACACATTCATCAGGCCGAGCTGAGCTGGCGCTCTGCCACTTTAAATAATTTATAAGTGCGACAAATCTAAAAACAACTTGGCCATAAAGCTGCTGGCAAAAGGATTTAGGGCCCGGCGACGCCCTGCGAACGTTACTTACGCAAATCAACAAACAAATCAACGGCACAAAAGTGGAAATCCTTTTGCCAGCCCTCCTCGAACGATTCCTTGCTCCGACTTCTGTCAGCGGAAAATTCTTATTCGGCTATCAAATTGTAAAATGAAAACCGCTGACTTACTTTCCACTCCAGCAGTACGTGTGAGTACGTGCGAGTGGGTGTGAGTGGGTGGGAGTGGGCGTGAGTGGGTGGCTGTTGACTGGCTGGCATTATGCAAACAAGACAGATCCTGTGAAAAGCCAGAAAACCCTTTACCCCGTCTCCATTTCGCATTTGCGTGCGGCGCGCATTCAACTTGTTTCGTTGTCGCTTTTTTTGAAAGTTGAGAATTTGCAAACATTGGAGCATAAGGGGCCAAAGTGGAGGTTAGCAAATGGAATCCCACCTGGGGTGTCTGAGGTGAAAGCGAGAGGGAAGGGGGAGCACGAACAGGTGCCATTTCCTTTTGGCAGATATGATTTTTAAGTGGCGCCAGCGATTTCATTTCGCGATTTCAAAGATTTCAGCACGAACTATCTGGATCTAATCTGGATCCTGGCTATTAATGCTTCTATATCGCATTTTTCAACCATCAAATATTTTGTTAAATCCTAAATCTAAGGAGTGGTGTATATCACAAACCAAATAGGCGCTTTTCTAACTACAATTTGCTGTTGTTTGACTATCAATTTAAATAGGCCGCCGCCAACAGTAAACAATTTCGCGAACTAAATCCTTTGCTCTCCTTAAATTGCATTAATCGGCAGGACGAATCGCGAGGGGTCCTTCCACACCGCACATTTCATATTGATCGCAAGCCCATTAAATATGCATTTGCTGATATCACCTAAATCCGCAGCGAAAACAGCTTATGCGGCATTCACCGTACCCGTGTGTACGGCGTACTCAAAATCCGTGGCTTTATCCGTCCGTGTGTGAGTTTGCGTGTGCGGTTGACAGCCGTAAAGAAATACACGGCAGTCCGGAGGGGAGCGCTGAGCGGGTGGGGGGGTGGTGGGGAGTTCAAGGAAGAAGCTGACAAAACAATAGAATTTAAATGATTTTAATGCGACCATTGGATTTTATTGAAGCCGACGGATGTCGAGGCATTTTGGATGCTTGGTTATGAGCTACACGGGTGTCATATGAATACCAACCAACCAACCAACCAGCCAAACATCCAAACATCCAAACAACCGGGCCAACATCCAAGTCAACCCGGCTCTTATTCGCACTGACAATAATAATAATTGTCAATTGCAGCAGCTGCCGCACAGGCGGCACACACGAGGCATCCCATTTTTTCCATATTCAATTTCAAATGAAATTTTCATGTCACACCCGGGCAAACATTTCCCCCCTCCCAGCCATTTGGTGTAAATTTTACGTTAGCTCTTTGCCAACTTAATTCTGGGCGGAATCTTTGCATACTTTTCTTTTCGGCAGCATCCGCAGCTGTTGTAGTTTTAGCCAGCAGTTTCTTCTTGTCTTTTTTATCGCATTTTTTCCATGCGGTTGCGATATTAGCCGGAGCTGAAGATACTTGCGGCGGATGGAGCTAAGCTATTTTGGTATTAAGCTGAGCTGCTTTGCGTCTGAGCTGCTTACAAGGTATTTGCATATTAGCCTGTCCATCGCATATTTTGATTAGAAATTGCTTCAGGTTTCCGCACACCACACATTGTATCCTTCCATATCCTCAAGGTTGGCTTGGCTCTCAGCTCGGCATTGTTTCGGAATTTCGGCATATGAAATTCATACAAATTAATATATGCAAGCAAGGTAGAGGCGTTTCATATTCCATTTGGGCTATTGGTAGCAAAAATTTAACGCTTAGTAACGCAGTTTCACAATGCCGAGAACATTCACATATTGACAGTTTTGCTACACATCGATTTTGGCCCCATTTGGGTACAGCTTTAATTTCATTTGCTGTTTGGGGGATGCCCACGAGTGCAGGCGCCTAACAGCATCACTTTGAGTGCTGTCAGACAGCAAAGTTCGCATAATGCAAATGGTAATGACATGTGTTCGCAACCAGACTCGCCTCAGTACCCCACCGACCCCATGGAGCCCACAAACAGGCATAATAGGCACATAACAACATTATCATTAGCAGGCGCAGGCAGGCAGCACATTAAATTGCAATTGTTGTTTCGCCGGCCAGTTGAGTGCAGGCATTATGGACGGCATCAGCATCAGCAATCGGAATAGGTATGTAAATGCAAGTGTCTAATTGATTTTGTCTTCGTTTCGGCGGTGCCCACGCGTCGTATGCGTGATGTTGATGGACCTCAAAGGGGCGAGGACTGAAACGCATTTTAAAGCCGTCTTAAAACATTAGCAGCATGTGTCCCGGCTACCTGGCTGGCTTACTTGATTCACTTTATGTGTTTGCTCACAAATTTCATTTTGATGAAGCCAATGTGTGCGTAGTGGGTGGTGGGGGTGGGTGGTGGGGTTGGGTGGTGGCACCAATGTGTGTGCTCAGCAGCCGAGAGTTGTTGGCCTTAAACTAGCTCAACAGCCCGAGCTGAGTGGCTGCCCCTGCCCCTCCAGGCTGTCCCGTCATTAGCATATGTAGTTGAGGGTCAGGCCCAAACAAGACAGGCAAAAAAGTGTACAGCACCCCGGTTTCACCTCCACCTCCACTTCCCGCCCCGGCAACAGGACCACCCCTGGCTTGGTTTGAGTTGAGCTGACAGCCGAGCTGTCAAAGCGGATTTTAGAGCACTTGCTGCCAGGTAAACAACAACAGAGGCAGCGCATATATATGCCAACGAATAGCGGATGCTCTGCATTAAAATTGGTTAAAAGGAATATTTTGTATATATAAGAAGTCAAAGCATTATAGATTGCGCTAGTTACTATTAATATCTTGTGGAAATGAAGACTCATAAGTGTAAAAACAGCATTCCTAAAACGATTTATAGCGAATTATAGCAAACACCTATCTAAAAATGGGCAAACATAGTGCCAACTTTGGCAATACACAAATTATAATTAGGCAAATAAATTAACAAAATCAAATAGTACATGGGTGACTCGCAAAGCTCTGGAAATTCATTGAAGACGGCCAAGCTAATTGGCCAGTTCCTTATACCCCACTGGGGCTCTGCAGCGCAAACACCTGTCATGGGTTGAGTGTTGGCCAAAAGGGTTTAACTACGTATCTCACTTGTTTCTGTTTTGTCGTTGTTGGTTTGCTGGTGGTGTTGCTTTTGTTATTGCTATTGCTGTGGCGGTTCGCCCTTGGCCAAAAATGCATTGTGTTGGCATATTCACGTATGTGCTGCCGCTCTGCGGCTAAAATTTTGACAAGCGCCAGCTCGACGAGGCAGGCGAAGGACATTTAGGGACCGAAATACCTTGTAAACATATGCGTGTGCGTATACTTAATTTCACCTGAGCGCAGGCCACTGAATTAAAGTGATAAATGCTGGCCAAACTTGATGAAAGGCGTGACATGGGAGGTGTTTGTTTAGGAGCATTTTACTCCGTGGTTCATATTTTCTTGGGTTACTCTAATGCCTTTTGTTTCGCCAAATTACAAAGGAATAAAGTCCGCTTTCGACATCTTCTCGGACGGGTTTCCATCATCATCTACGAGCAGATGTACATCAGAGTACCGGATCTTATCAAGTTCGGCATAAACGCTCTTGCTGATGCTTACTTCGGGGTACTTAAGGGGAAATTTTAGACGCAGTAAGAAGTTTAGAGCCGTAGATATACTAACCAGCTTAGCCACCTTCCAGCATTCCAAGGCCGTCTTATTTCTGCTAAGTCGTAGGTTAATGGTAGCTAAGTATCCCCAGACATCGGGTATAAAGATGTCGACTTCAGTGCATCGCGAGAGATAGGGAATGGCTTCCTCCAGGCGGTTGAGCTTTTGTTAGTCATGTGAATTAACTGCTTTTGGCAACTATCGAGTGCAGACTCACATGGTAGAGTGTCAGTCCCTTGCCATAGTTGGCTGTAAAGCTCTTGCGTCTGGCAGGCAAACAGCTATCGAATGCTTTTTCGGCCAGCTCATATTGTCCCCTTTGGAAGGCCAACTGACCGAGTCGCAGGAAACTCAGCTTGAATAGCCACCTATCCATCGGATCCACCACTGAGAATAACTCCTGAAAGTATCTTAAGGCCTCATCACAGCGCCCTCGTGAATACTCCACACTGCCGTTGATGTGCAGTTGGTAACAGCGCTGTATAGTTATTTCCTTTTGAATATAATTTTTAGTGTCGTATGGGAAAATAATCTCACCTTCAACTTTCCCGCCGCACTGTTGTCCGTAGGCATCTTAATGATATTGAACTTGTCATCGATCTGGCGCTGCAGTATCTTCAAGGTGGTGGTTATAAGATAGGCTTCAGCCTCCGTAAAACACTGTTCTATGTCGGAAAATACAATTTCCGCAAATGCGTATGCTCCTAGGCGGGCAAATAGCTTGAAGACGGGGAAAAACTGAGTATTCATCGAGGTGGATGAGCTCTTCATATCAAAGTCGACCGGCAAGTATAGTTCGTAAAGCGAAGTAGGAGTGAAGCTAAGTGTCTTGGGTGCAATTTGCTGAAGATTCAGGAATTTCCAGCGCGTCAACTCCATGCCGGGTAAGTAATAATACTCCTTGTAGTAGCAGTACAAAAGGATCCAGATTTCTGATTCCATTCTGTTCTTATCGGCAAACTGGCGCAGACTCTCGATCATATTCGATTTGGCCGTGCTCAAGACCTCTTCGTCTGTCGATCTAAGGTCCATCATATAGTTAATATAGAGCTGCAAGACCAGACTGCGCTATATGAGATAAATAAGTCATAATTTAATAAGCTGAAGTGCATTAACCATTTGAAACTCACGTAAAGTAGTAGCCACTCCAATCGGTGGTTCGGGGTTTCGTGAAGTATCTCGCCGCCTGTTCAAACTGCAGGGTTTCGACGCTGTTTAGCAGGGTTAAGAAGTCGAATATGATGCGGTTGGTGGTGCTGTGATCGATCTCTTCGTACATATGAATGGCCAAATCGCGTTGGCCAGTGCAGCTGACCAGTCGCATATCATGCATCAGCCGATTCAAGCCACGATCCTGGTTCGACGTACTGTCGGCATTATTTTTCCAACAGCAGGCGGTAAACACACCCTCAATGCGCTCCATCAGCTCCTCATACATGTGGGTCAGCATTTCCTTATCGGTTAAAGGATGACTATTTAATACAGTGCCAAATAGTGCTTTGATTAGATACCCACTCTGAACTCAATGTTCGTTTTGGTTGGCATGCGTATGTTGAAGTCGCAGCCGCATATTTTCAGCACCAGATTGCAGAGGTTGCCCAGCTGGCAGCAAAAGAAGTCCTTCCTATCACTGATGTCCTGCACATCTCGCTTGATTATGTACCCGATTGTATCGCGTATGAGATCATCAAAGGCGCGGTAGAGCTCAAGGAGCACATCCTCATCCGTCTCGTCCTCCTTGACGAACTCCATGTCGAAGCAGCGGCGCAGCTTTGCGCTTTTGAGGAGGCTCTCATTGTACTTGTCCAGAGGTTCATTGCGCTCGCAGATTGGCTGAAAGAAGCAAATCTTGAAGGTGCAGAACATTGGGCCCATTACCATGGTATCCCTTGGTAGGCTTAGCTTGATGGTAGGTGCGAAAACGGGACTCAGCCTGCATGCAAAGCGGCAGTAATTCACTGGGGAAGGTACGCAGTACCGTGTTAAGATGTCTATTAACTGGGAACCCTCACCTCCTGGGTAGCCAAATATGCTGGGATTAAGGACGCCCTCGTACAGGACATTGCTGGGCGTCTCCTGGTACAGTTGCAGCAACAACTCGTAGTCATTGTGAACCACAGCCTCCTCGAGGATTTTTCTCATTTGCTCGTTGAGAACGAAACGGTGCAGAGAGTTGTTGATCAAGGCCAGGTCCGAAACAGGATCAATTTTGTAGATCTGAAAGTCAACGTCCTGTTCCCAAAGCAGCATGCGAAGCAGCTTTGGAAGCTTTATCCTGGAATTGGTCTCCATTTGGTTGAAGCTGAAGTGCATGTCGAGGTGCAGATCCCGCTTGATGTTCTCCCACACGATGATGGTGTTCTGGTCACTGATGATCTGTGAAATGAATCCTGAGTAGGTGCACAAGGGAATCACCCTAAGAGAACCATCCGACTCCTGCGGCTCCTTTGAACGAAAGGAAACACTGAGGCCCAATTCGGCGGATTTCGAGTGCAGCTCTTCGGGAACATTGTATATTGATTCCAGGGTCAGAAAAGCCAAATTCGTGAAGGTAAAGTTCTTCAGGATGGGCAGAATGGAGTACATGTGCCAAACGCTGCACGTGGTGATTTTGTCGTTAATCTTTTTCGACCGGTACTCCGGATACAGATAGATGGTGATGTCGCTTATAAAGCGGCGTCGCTGGAAAAGCTGCAGCAGATCGCAGTGGCCGCGAGATAGGAGTTCCAGACGCCCCTCCAAAAAGGCACCGCCCTCACCTTCCTCCCCAGCCTCCTCACCATCGAGTTCGGATGACCTCTTGCTCGATTTTTCATGGGGCACGTGCACATTGCTCCCCGAAGCCTTTGTAATTAATTGATTTATTTCTTGCGACGAGGATGTGCCCCTTTTCGTTGACTTGCCCTTTCCAGATCCTCCCTTGCGGCGCCGCGGAATCCTTTGATAGAGAGAAATCAGCAGCGGCTGATCGCTGAACGTGTTCATGTCCTCGATATCGTCCTGCATCACACCCATGGCAAATACGGGTTTCTTCAGACTGAACTCGTGCTGATAGATGATGGTCTCTGTGGTGTAGCGCTCCTGCATCTTCTGCAGTGTGTTCTTCGGATGGTAGAGGTGCAGCTCCAGAGGATGCTCCGTCTTGGGCAGCTTGCTCATTTCGTTCAGCTGGATGTAGAGGAAGACCCGTTGCTGCGTCCTGGGCTCCAAGGGAGGCTCCACCCTCGGCTGCTCAGTAGCCTTGATCCTGCCGAGCTCGTCACCTCCTGTGGAGCGCCTGCGTCTGGTTAGCCGAGCAGTTCGACGCAGTGTATTTCGGCCCTTTCGATCCATTGTGAGTTTAAGTAAAGGTGTGCTACAGAAAACTGGTTTTATCTTTGGTCTGAGCTCAGTAGGTGTTGACACCCAAAGCACTGATTTCTTGGTTCTACACTAGACTTTGCAAATGTTTAAGTAGAACACATAGACCACCCTTCAACCTTTTTCAATCACACGCGCGGAATAGAACATTTTGAAGGCCTGAACTAATTTGAAATGCTGGAATGCGGTTACACATATCCCATATCTAAATACACGAAAACAGCTTCACACTTGAAATGCGTATCCAATTCTCAGACATTCAGCCGAACCTTGGAAAAGTTGAAGAGGTTACTTAGCCGCCCTACAAGACTCTCATCTGCGTATCTTTTATTCAAAGGGAAAAAATGTTTTATGTATTCTGATGCCGACGCCGCGGGATTCTAAACAATAAACACTTCAACAAGTCCGCTGCTCGTTTCCATCCGCCCTCGCAAATTCCGAAGGGTTTGGCCTAAAAATCGTATGGAATTGGGGGCTGCGTGGGTTTTATTACTCCCAGACATATAAGTTTTATTAGGCACGGTAGGCTCATAAACCAAATTTCGGCAAAGTGTCAAGAAGCAAGTTAAACAGGTTGAGAATTAAACTGGCAGATTTCGGGAAGTTCTTAGAATTTACCAGAGCATAGAAACTGCCTTTTTTTACTGCCTTATCCACACAAAAGCCAAAACAATTAAACACCAAGCTGCCAGTTGGCAATTAATGAAAGCGAAGGCGAAACGAAGCGTAAATTGATTTAAATGCGCAGAGCCAAAGCCAAAAGAAAGTCAATTTATTTAGTTTTGTTTTATGTCTCGCTGCTCCGGCGACTTTACACTTGATAGTTGTCGGTTTTGTGGCGCTTGCTGTTTGGGGCCATTTTTTATTGTTTTGGCGCAACGGTCAATGTCAGTCCAAATGCACTTTTAAATTAAACTTTTACGCCAACTTTTCGCATAAATGTGCGCACACGCAAAGGCAAGGACAAGTATAAAAAATGAAATCAAATAGGAGAACAAAAATTAACTCTTGAACTGAAAAAAAATCCCAGCGACTGCAACTATATAAAAATATTGCAAATTTATACAAGCCGTGCGGCTTTTTTCGCGAACGCGTAAACTTATGCCATATATTGCATTTATAACGGGCTCGACGCTGCGAATATTATTATTATTTCTTAAATGTGGGTCACTCGGCATTTGCATGGCGCACTTTTCGGCCAGCAGAGTCCTTTGCACCCAAGATCGTGTGTGCAAATTCCTTGGCTTTGGCTTCGACTTCGTGGCTTTCTGCATTTATGCCATCGTCAAAGAAGGCGAACTTAAAATGCAGTGCTCGCAACTTTAATATAACTTAATCCTTTTGCGGCGCCTGTGTGTGTGTGTGTGTCTGTGTGTGTGTAACTTACGAATTATGGCGTTAATACCACTATGTGCTTATGAGTCCGCTGTCCCTGTGTTTGTGCAGCGTGTATGCGTGTGTGTCTGTGTCTGTATGTGTGCATGTTTGAGCTCGTGTTACTTTAGCAAGTTGACTTTTGGGATCATCATTAGAGAGCGGGTGGGTATGTGGCAGTGTTTGCCAACGTGCAGCTTGCGGTTTGAGTTTCCTCTTCAGAAAATCCCGATGACGTCAGAAGCTTAGCTTCGAAGGCACGCCGCAAAGAAAGTTGTTTATGGAAATAATGTTAATTATCACAGTAAGCAGGAAACTTGATCCCCTAGTAACGTTCATTGCGAAGGAAGTAATTTGCTCAAGTCCTGAACTTCGCAGAAATTCATTTGTGGCTACGTAAAAAGGTATGGCGGAGTATAAATATAAGTAACCAATGCATCGCATTTCACTTCCGCCCTCAAACTTTAAGCAGTATAAATGCTCAGCGATATCTTCGATAAATTTTCTCCCAGCAAGTGCTGTTTATATATAACTCCATGGTTTTTGTCTCCAAAATAGCTAATGTAATTGCATTTATTTCCTTTTTTAATGGCATTAAAAACTCTTTGTGCCACTTCCCATAACACCATCGTCACAAGAGTCGCAGGCCAGTGAAAAAATATGAAGCCACTAGGAAACCTGTTACAACCCCTTTACCACACATGCTCCTCCAATCCAGGATCCAAATGGGTGTTGTGTGGTGGTGGGAATCCACTTTCAGTGGCACATGTGTGCTGGAACGATTACAAAATGCTGAAAACGGAATTTGCAAAATGTCACGTCTGACGCTCGTTGGCAACTAAGACGGAAATTTACCACTAAATGACGACCAGCCCCCCAAAACGAGGTGCCACCGCCACGGTGGAGCAACCTCGGAGCTCTATGAAGTGCAAACTGGAAGCCCAGACGAGCTACTGCAAATGGGCACCTTCTCCAAGAGAGCTGAATACTTCGCAGTAGTTGTGCACTACATACGATTGTATACCGACTCGAATAAATCAATCCACATATAATTTCATTAATTGTCCAAACAGCGTTACAGAGGATAAAGCAGCTAAGTTAATCGGTAAGACTCCAGCCAAAGGAGTACGGCTTGTTGGCATCCATTGGCTGCATCATGGCATAGCCGTTCCAGCCGCAGGAATCACCACCCGCATTCGTTGGCAAATTGTAGTAGCCGTTAGTGCCACAAGGACTCCCCATGGCGGTTTGCATTTGCCGGCGCTGTAGAATCTGCGCCTGCAGCGGTTGCATCATCGCGAGGTTGCTGGACGTCGAGTGCTGCCGGACCATGACTGGGCCAGGACAACTCACGGAGCTCTGCTGGCTCGGCCTGGACACGTATGAGGGCGCAGGATACCGAGTTCCCGCTCGTTGACATGTTGGGTATGGAACAATGGGCTCGGGGCAATGGGTGGCATGTTGCGCCTGTGGCAGCGCCTGCTGCATATGCATGCGCTGTTGCATGGCCGCCTGATGAGCGCCCAGCGGCGGCTGCATGGGCACTCCGTCCACCAATACCGGATACACGTTCCCGCCGAAGACGAGCCCGCTGCCATAGGTGACCATGCTGTTCTGGGGCACTTGCGGTGAGCCCTCGTGGACAGTCGGTTTTTTCAGACTAGTCATTATAAAAGTGTGTCTCTGTTTTCCGTACAAGATTTTCCGTGTTCGAATTTCAGTAACCGCACTCCGAAAAGTTGATCGAAATACTGGCGAGAGATTTAAATAGATCTGACAACAAACCCTCGGCCTGCCAATTATTTTGGCATAACTCGGAGCAAAGACCTCCAGCCTTTTTTCAAGAATGAAACTCTCAGACCTTATCATCACGTACACTCCGAACTGATAAGCTGTGTTAGCTCCAAGGAAAGCAGGAGGCATTTTTAATTAAGCCCACAATAGAACTTGAAGAAGGCAGCCGAGATGGCCAGAGATATAAAAAAGCAAACAAGAAAGGGGTAAGCAAGATTACTTGGATGGAGCATACCAATTACAATAGCAGAAAAAACAGATTGCCATCATGGAGTTTTTGAAGACTAGTGTAAGCTGCTTTTTGTGTCAGTTCGTTCCGGATGTCTTAATCGAAAAGCCAATCAAAAATTATAAAAAACATTTGGCTCACCGACACAAAGACTGAAAATTACCACCTCCTGGCCCATACCTTTTAAAATTAAACCCGAATCAGGTAAGTTTCTGCGAGTTCTGGGTATGTGAAATTAGACGAAAACACGTAACTCCCATAGGCAATTGGCAACCTGTCTGCCCAACATGTTTCCTGATGACTTCGACGTTGAACCCTTCAATCCATTCAATGTGGGACCGCCCAATAGTGGAGCCCGATCTGAATTTAAAATACCCACCTGCGTTACGTATCCGCCACCGGTGTTCGTACCCAAGTCCGAATACCTGCAGCCATCCAAGGAGTTGTCTGCCCGGAACAGCAATCAAAGTGTGGGGCAGTCCAGGATCGGCGAGGTGGACATTTCCAAGGCCATCAATGAAGAGATGGCCGTAGCCAAGAAGCAGGCCGCAGCCCTCAACGAAAAAGACCGCATTGATGCGGGTAAAGTCTCCAGGACGGAACTCTCCAAGGACTCCCCATCAAAGGAAGCGGTTTCAAAGGACTCCATGCGCACCTTAATGCCAATAAGGTCGCACCGACAGGTCAGTGGTGAGGGTAGAGCCAATACCAAATTGTCCATATCAGAGTCCAGTGTGGCCTCCAAAACTAGCTGCACACATAAGCAAAGTCAGGCTGACATGAACTCCAAGTCTTCAAACATAGCATTAAAACGATCTGCAATAGCCAGCAGTATTTCCTCAAATACCACCCTTCCGAAGTCAGTTTTGAAGAAGGAAAATTCCTCAGAAGCGGACAAAGTGTCCACTGCCACAATGAATTCCAAGGTGTCGAATAAACCATCTGAAACCGGCACGCAGCGCTCCTTAAACATAAAGCCTGCTGACTCCGACTCCAAGCAATCTCTGAAATCTGAAAAGCCAAAGCATTCCGATTTTAAGATGCAGGAATCACAGATCACTTCGCGAGAACCAAGCCCCGCTGATATTATCCCCAAGAAGGCGAGCCAGGATCGAGCTCATTCAAAGACCAACAAATCAAATGTACTGCCTGAATCCAAGGATGGACCCAGCTACATTCGCTCGGAAACAGCTCTATCCTACAGACAGTCCTTGAACCAGCAGGCTGCCGAGATGGCGGATCGGCTAAATGCCGGAAATGAAAACTTTAGGCGCTACAATTCCGTGGCACGCAATCACTCGGTGAAAGTTCCTCGAAAACTTTCTGATGGGGATCGCATGACTTTCTGGTTCAGCGATGCTGTGCTCTCCTAGAAACAAATTTCCTGGCCAAACAAATCCCTAGTTCACATTTACTGAGAATTGCTATCCATTGAACAGAGAGATGTAAGCGAAAATTAAAGGTTTTTACATTTACAATTTCCAAAATACACTGTTTGGTTAACGAGTCAGCAGAGAGAAAACTAACCTGATTTGCGGTGCAGCATTTTTTACTGATGTTCAGTGTCATTAATTCGAATGCGCTAGAAATTTGCGGTCACTTCGTTCTGAATGCGTTGACCCACAAAATGGTATGCAAAAAAGGTGAGCTTTATTTTGCAAATAAAGTATAAAACGGGCGAGTCAAACCGATTCAGTAAATTACGGAAATGTATAAATTTCTGATTATTAGAAATATAAAAAGAGACATGAGCAATACTGTACCAAGCCAACTTTTTGAATTAAACTAAAGCTCTACTGGTAGCCATCGAAAATTGAAAATGATTTCCAATTAAAGTCAGCCACGGGCAGCTCAGCTGACTTTTTGTTTGCGAAATCAAATTAATGAGGACAATTCGGCCGAGCGTTTTGTTTGGGGTATTGTGGTTAATTTTACTTTATTTATTACAGCGCAGAATGCTAATTGCAGCTGCCAGCGGAGGCCGACAACAATGTTAGTTTGTAGCTGCCCAACTGCCCAGCTGCCCAGCTGCCTAATCAGCGTCAGCATTTTGGCCAGGAGCGGAATCGGGCTTGAAAGGCCCGGGAAGGCAGAAGAAGGGGTCGAACAATTATAATAAATGCCTGTGGCTTACATTTAATTGCATGTCAATTTGTAAGCCGCTGGCCCGAGCACACTCGTCCGTAAGTAGGCCACAATAAATGAGGCGAGTGGGTGGGCGGGATATTTATATGGAAATGCGGGGATTTTTATGCTTGTACTTGTACAATAAAGGAAACAACTGCAATAATGGCGCACGGCGCATAAAGTACCAGAAATAATAGCAACAAACAACTTTGCTGGAGTGCAAAAACCAAAAACGACAGCCACGACAGCAAAGGCTTCGCATCGAAATGAAACAAACGCTGGGAGAAAAATATATTTAATACGAAAAGTTTTGCAATAACGGAAATGAAATGGAAATGGACGCGCGCCAATAGACATAAATGCGAGTGAACCTAAGTATATGTGAGCATTTTTCGTGTCTGTGTGCCAACAAATACCCAGGATACAAATAGGACACGGCAGCCGGAGCGGCCAACAACTGCAAAAACCACAGTCTCAGTGCCCGGCCGTGTAAAACAAAAGCGCCATCGCACAATGCAAAAACAAACAGCGAAAGCCAACACGGATCTCAAAAGTAAAACTAACAACAATATCCGCAAAAAGCAATTGCACAAAGGCAAAAGTGGCAGCGCCATCAGATGCAGCCCACATTGCGCCTATAAAGAGCATAAAATATTAAAAAAGGTGGAAATATGTAGGCGGCGGTTTCTTTAGAAACATTCGCAAAGTAATTTGAGCCCTGATAAAAAGAGGAAGCCCAGCGAATCAGTTTGAATAGTTGCGACCCAACGCGCTGCCTCAATTACTACAGATATTTTATGGTTATCCTAAGATTGCAAGACAAATTCTAGGATAAATATGTCAAAAGTAATTACTTTTAAAACAATCAAACAGCTATGCCTACACTAAGCTATAAAATTAACCCATATCTTAATGGATTGTAGCCCTTTTAAATGTCTAAGCATTACGGAATGCCGCAAATTTATGCGACTTCGTTTTGTGTAAGCCCAATATGTTCTTGTGGCATGCTAATTAATTGCTGCTCCAGAAAGGAGTAAATCAACAGACACAAACTCTGCTAAACACACTTCAAACTGTCGCAGTGCAGATATTAGCTTATGCGGAGAAACTACAGGGCCCACTTTCAGCGCCTACGTGTCTTTTTGTGTGCGGCCCACACTGCGTATGCGTAATAAAATTGAATTAACGCTTCCTATGACACAAGGTCGCCCGAGGCAACGTTTGCCATCAGTTGCCGTAAATATTGCTGCATGTTTTCGAGTGTGTATGTTAGTGTGGGAAAGGTCCAGTATTTCCTGTTAAAATAGACATCAACTTGAGGCTCTGAGTGCCTCGAGCTGGTTAAGTTGCCCTAATTATCAAGTCACATATGACAAGGCGACCGACTGGCATTGAAAGCTGGCCGGCTAATCATAATGCAATTTTCGATTTCGTGTTCATGTGGCAGTTTCAAAGGGAAATGAGTCACTCGCCTGCAGCTGAAAATTAGTTGACTGCATTTAATAATCAGTGTGAAGAGCGCCAATTAAATTTAATTTGGCCAAGCCATTGCTCCTATAGATAAGCTCAAACTCAACGCAGGCGTTCCACAATCAAAATCAAGGATCATAATTGGTGTGTACAGTTTACTAACAAACGAACAGCACTTTGTAATTGCGTTGGCCGATAATCGCAAATGCACCGAGGGCACGTGCGCAATTTTGCCACAGGTCTGAATTTTACTTGTGGAATTTAATATTTAAAGTGCCTCCGGTTTTTACGGCCACTATTCGCAGTTTCAATTAAGCCTAAATGCAGTTGATTAACAAATTCAATTTGCAGGCCGCGACGGCGGCTGCGGTCGAGCGTGTATTTTTCGCCGATGCAGCAAGACTTGCATAATTATCAGCGAGGCATTAAAACATTTACATTATTATCTGCGGCATTCCGTTAAAATTTAATTCATAATTTGCATAATGATAAATGCGGAGCGCTTTTAACAGCGACTACAAATCAAGGCGGCCAAATGGCAAAAGTGAATTCAGAAGAGCGGCGTCAAGTCAGCGGGAAATGATTCATGGTCCCATTGTGAGGCCCTGGCTCTGATTTCGTAGTGAAAGTCGACCGAGTCATTTGTCGTCATAACTTTTGTCATTAAAAGCTGTGGGGGCGGGGCGGGGCGGGCAGGATCGGGTGCTGGGGAGACTGGGCGTGGCCGTTACGTGCCGGGCGGACAAAGGCAGTCACTCCAGTTCACTCCTCCGTCTCCCGCCTGTGTATACATTTTTCATAACATGCTAAACTTATGTGGCTGTGCTTGTGGTTCTCCCAGGACAGCCAAGTCACGTTCCTTAATATGTCTGTGTATGCGACCGCCTGGATAAGTGTCCACGTTGCCTCATGTGTGTGTGTGGGGTGGGTGAGTGTGGCTTCGAGTCTAACACATTTTTAATTTATTTTCATCCGACTCCCGTGCACAGTGGTGTGGATTTGGCCACCGCCCCAAGCACCGGGTTAAGAGCCTTCCTGAACCTTTAAGTGCTGGTCAGGCACAGGACGAGGCTCAGGCTCAGTAGCAGGCCAAAACTGAATCCTTGGGAGCTGTCTTCCCAGAAGTAAGCAATGCGTCCTTAGACTTTGACTCACTGCCTTCACTTTGATTGCAGAAAATGAAGTTCCGTTTGCCATTACATTGCTCTAATGCTCTAAACTAAAGGAAATATAAACAAATTGTAGTAATTTCTCTTAAATTCAGAAATCTGTATATAGCCTTCAGTTAAAAAAGATTTAAAATAGCTTAAACAGAAGTCGTAACCAGGCATGCGTTGCATTTGAAGTTCATTATATTACTATCCATTCCTGCGCTACTCAGAATAATTCTAGTAAAAAGTCGAAACGAGTCGTTCCAGTTCATATTTACAATGAATACGATTGTTGGAGAACTTTTCCGCTTGCTTTCCGTGGCGTCCGGTTTTCTACTCAATAAACTGTTGTTCTACGGATTGATCTTTGGACTGTTGATCCTCATTGTGGTTCGTCTTTTCATGATGGAGCGCCTTCAACGGCTGAAGGCAATAATCTGGAGGAACCTGTCCGAATATGAACGCGATTCTGAGGCAGAGGATGAAGGCTGCATAGATGATGAGTTCCTATTCAGGGACCTCAATCCGGAGCAGAGTGTAGACTTACATCGCCGGCAGCGCTTGGAGGCAGCAGCTAAAGTATTGCGAAAGGTGTCCGATAAGGAGGGATCCTTTAAGAGCCCCCAGCACAGACGAAAGAATACTGAGCCTATAAAATCGAGATAAACTATGGATAGTCACAGAAGATAGAGAATTGTTAAGTATAGCACACTTGGGGAATGCAGCTGAATATCGAAGTTACAGAACTACTCGTCCTTAAAAATAACATACTTGGGGATGCAGCTGGATGTTACTGACTTACCATAACCGAATATGCGAACATAATGAACTAAATACAATTCCATGCCCACTCGTAATCCTTTGAAATTAATTTGCTGCCATTGCCTTAGCGTCTGGGGTCTTACGATTCCGTTGGCCATTTTAATTGGTTTGCGAGCACATAAGCCGGCCTTAAGTCGCCAGGTGGAACTGTAGCAAGGGTAAAAACGGCTATAAATATTTGTTCAGCTGGCTGGACCCAAGTCCCAGAAAAGGGGCAGTTGACTGGAGGCCTGGACAATTGCGGCGAGCGGAAGGCGCTTAAGATTAAAAAGCGTCACGGGTCCTGGATGCGATGGCAAAACCACAAAGCAAACACAAACACAAATAGAGATGAGAGGGTATGAGGAGGCTTAAATGGGGGTTCGTGGGTGCCGCAGTGGAAACAGTGGCAGAATAAATATGTAAGTCACAACTGCGAGGAAAGTCGAAGTAGCAAATACCCTTTTTAAAACTCAAGCTATGTGTGCTGCAGTAGGAATAGCTTGAAGAACAATAAGGGTATACGACACAAAAGAATAATTTACCATGAAGGTAAGCTTCATAGGATGTATATCATTTTATATCATTTTACAGTAAGTTCAATAGGGCTAAGCAGGGTATCATCCAGGCGACTACCTTACTCCAATGGTGCCCACATGTCCAATAGCAAACATTTTAAAGTTCAAAAGAAGGTCCTTAACCTGCAGCCGGGGGCGGATTGCACTTGCACTCACGTACATCACTCGCAGCTGATGTTGCCGCTGCTCTTGTTGTTGATGTGGCAAGAGTTGCTGCTGCCGCTGCCGCTGCTGCTGCTGCTGCCTTTGTGAGGTTGCAGCTGCAGCTGCTGTGGGCTGCTAAATGAAGTGAGTGTCAACACAAATGCAAACAAATGGGCGGAGCGCATAAAGCGAAAAGTAAAAGGCGTCGCAAATCATCAGAGGACTTCCATCAAGTGAGGCGACAGGAGTGGCACGCCCCTACGCCCACCAGTGACTCTCCATTTCGACTTCAACTCCCCGGCCAGACAAATGAGGTCAGTGCTCCGGGCTAGCACTGCCATTGTTGTTTAGTTTTAATAATATTAATGCACACTAATGTGCAGGAAAACATTTAAATATATCTCGCTGAGTTGTGGCCACAAAGGTATCTTAATGAAAGTTCTAGAGGAAGGAGCTGTTTCCATTAAAATGGTAGACTTTCGTTCATTATTTAGCAAATGCATTTCCGCAAAAACATAGAATGTTGATTGGAATTTGGCAAGAATGGCAAGTATAGACTGCACTTCAACAAAAACCAAACACGATGGAATTTTTTCAATTTGGTCTTTAAAATGTTAGTAAAGTCCACTGCTAAAAAAGCAAAGAATTAGTGCATTTATTTTCAAGTTATACAAAAGTTTATGAAACTTTCATTATGATTTACTCGCTTAAGGACTTTTTTAAAAGCTCTTGAAACTTATACGACGCTCTGTTTCATTGGTGTGCCATCTTCAAACTCTCTTTTCACTCTAAAAACAAACTTCGAAATTTGCATTTGGCTTATATGCATGGGTAATTATTTCTTGCCTTGCGTTTTCCATTTCATTAGTTGCCACTGCCCGTTTTCCATTGTTTGCTCCTGAAATGAGTTTTTTAATTAAGAAAGCAAGCAGCATGGAGCGAAGATTCAGCTTCGACTTCGACGAGTGGCCGAGTTGAGTGTACATATTTTATGAGCCACCAAAAACTTGGCCAGTCCCATTTATTGGGTTTCATAAACTTTATGCACTTTGCGCTCGCCGAAGCGTGCGCTTGCATTTAGTTTTCATTTATTTCCTCTTTTAAAGCTCATTAGGCGCATTTGCACGCTGCTCTGCATCGATTAACAATGGAAATTAATCCCTTAATGCATTTATATTGAATTAATATTAAATTTTGTTGGCACTATCATTGCGTGCCAAAGTCAAACAACAACGAAACCAAAAATGATTAATTCCATCAGAACTTTAAGCTGGCACGCTTTGCTGGATTTAAATATAGGGTGCATTGTTCCGTAAACATCATAAATAAATGCGAAAGGCCAAATGTAAATAAATGGGGTTTCGTGAACGCCTTTTAACAAAAGCAACTAAACTTTTTATGCCGATGGTGGTAAAATCGACTTGTATCAGTTTGCATTCTCACGCAATTGTTCCATCAATTATTTAAAACAAATTGCAAATATTTATTTTAATGTACGGCTCTTTAACATTTCACTTCAGTCAGTTATTTTAAAAACAATACGATAATTGCATGGTAGATATGAAAATACGGTGTCCTATTCTCTTCGTTCTGTGCATACAAATTTAAAATAATTGAATTTCATAGCATTGTGCCATTTACATAATAATAAAAATATTTATTTCATTTTCCGATATGCTGACTTTTGTTCAATTTCACTCGAATGCGCTTTATTTTACTATTTTCCCAGCTTTTGTACTCCTCCTTGGCTTATTATGCCATCAGTGGCGTCTAGCTCGGATATTCCATCTCAGATATTTTTAATACGAGTTCGCTTTACACAATGGTGTGAATATTTAAATTGAATAAATGCCAAATTGGATGCCAAGGGGGCGTGCCTGGGGCGGGGCTCACGTGTCGCCTGGTATTTGCATTTGGCTCAGTTCTTCGGCTCTCCTAACGCCACCAGACGGCTCCTCAGTAAACCATTCCAAATCCCTGCTCCGGTTGCTCCAGTTGCTCCAGTGCATACATCTGTCGGCAGATCCTTCTCGGCGTATTATTTCGTCGCATTCTGTGCACTGAAAGGACCTTTCGTGTAGGAGCATAAATGAAAGGACTTTTCCGGTGCTCAGAAGGAGGATACTAGTATTTTCAATTTAGCTAGATTCAAAATATTTATCAGGCCTGCATTGAACGATCTTAAATCAAAGTATTTGTGCTTTTTAAACTATTTTATCATAGCCAATTCAAACTGTTTCTGATGTGAATATGCGGTATTTTTGTTACAAACTTCTGTGGCAACCCTAGCCCAGTGTCGTATTCGCTTTGCTTTTCGCATTTGTGCCAAGCAAACTCATTCAAGTGGCATTATAAACTAAGTTAAATCGACAATTTCTGCCGTACCTTATTGCATGTTTGTTTGCATTCGCTTGTCGCAGCAAATCGAAGTTCTTTCTTGGCCCCTTTTGTGAATGTGTTACCTGAAGGGAGGTGACCTCATCCATATCACATATACTTGTATACTTGTAAGGGATGAAGTTATTTTTAAAATTAGCTGCCCCATACCGACTTTCAAATCATGTTTTATGCTTGCAAGAAAATGATGCGGAATGTATGCCCCTTGAAGTGTCAGATAAACTGGCAATATATTCTTGCTTTGGAGTTCAGGCTCGAAAGGTGCTTGTCCCAGAGTTTAAGAGGTTAAGAAGACTGAGCGAAACACACAAATTGCTAAGAACATATCGATGGCACTTCACTTTGGCGCACTCAGCAATTAGGAGGCACATTAATCATACGCCGCGTTGTCAATAAACTTGTTGAAGACATGAATCAGCGACAGTTCAACGACATTAGCATTTGGTTCCATGCACTAGAAAAAATGCCAGCGCATGTTTCAGATAGAACAGAAATATTTGTTAATAATTACTAGTATATAATTTCAATTGTAGAATATTGTTTTTTGTGGAACTTCCTACAGCACCTCTAACTATAGCTGATAAATAATCAGTTTGCATTCAAAACACTCCTTTTCTGCGAGTGTTCAACTCAGCTGCCTCTCCAGAGGTCCTTGACTTGTTGACTTTGCATCATCTTAAGTGGGGTCCGTGTAGGTTTGGCACGTGTACAGAACGCATGTGCGCTGCTATTTTCGTGTGCTCCGGATGAAGTGCAGCTAATGACTTTGTTTGCCAGGTGCCGGGTTTTGCCAGGCTGGTGATGATGGATTGCCGTCGCCAGCTGCCGTGGAAAATTGCCTAATGCCGCGGTGCATTCAGTTTAGCATCCGGCTGGCAATCTGGTTTGCTTGTCCAGCAATGACACACCGCAGCCTGAAGTGTCCTTCGTCCTGGCTCCTGCTGCTCCTCGCCATGCTTTTCTGCCTGTTTGCAGGACTTGCGGACAGTTGCTGCCGCTGCTGTCTGGGCGAAAATTGCAAGGACCTCAACTGCTGCGCCTGGTGTCCAAGGACAGTGACTTTGGATTGAAGGAAGATCCCGCTGCACTTTGTACACATTTTTGATCTAAATAGATCGTTCACATATTTAAGCAAAACAATAACCTTTATTTATTTCCCATTTGCCATTTTTCAATGTCCATCTGGGGCAGGCGATAAAGTCGATTGTTTCGAGAACCAGGTTAACTGCAGACAGAGGCGTCTTCACATGTGAAACACATTCCCTCTTGGCCACAGAGTGCTTCATAATTCGCATGCAAGACTCATCAATTCATTGCTCGAAAAGCAGAAGGCTGACAAAGTGTTTTCCCAATGACTTACTCCGCCCTGCCAGCTCTCCCAGTTTTCCCTGTTTTCCCACTTTTCCGACCGACTGTCGACTGACTGTCGAGTGACTGAGTGACGGACTGAGGGACTTCCTGACAGCCAATAAATGTCACTTTGGCCCGGCTGATGCATGAATACATCCGTCGCCCGCCTGGTGTCTCCCCAAACAGGAGCTGGTAACTCTCCGAAGTGGCAGCTTATAAAGTCCTGCTGTGTCGCCCAGATAATTGACAGCGATGTGACGAAGAAATTGAGGCAGACAGTTGTCTAGATGCGAATTTAAAGGTAAGCAGCTGCAAATGACTCACTGAGAGTCGGTCGAATCGAAAGTTTTCATGTCTGGAGCAGATTGGTACTTTTATCAAATCAATAGTGGGCACCACTATCAACTTAGCCAAGTCATCGACATGTGAATGAGCCATGACAATAGTCAAACGGCCACTTCGCTTGCTCTCTAATTGCCAAAAAAAAAACCAAAAACAAGCACTAAACAGAGGTCAGCAAAAGTCAAGAGTCTAGACAGCAACTGTTACTGCTCCATTAGTTTGGGAAAACTGCGAAGATGGATGTGGATTTGCAGATGGATATGAATATGGGCATGGAAAATCTGCAGTAAATTCGATTAACTATGCATGCAATGGCATTGGAAACATGAGATATGAAATTAATTCGACGTGCCATGAAACACACGTCAGGAACTCATTTGGCCAGCAGAGCTCGATGAGATCCGTGTAAGCGTTAAAGCGCCGACATGACTGCGGACAGGAATTCCGCATGGTGTAATCCTCGGAATGGAATGGAACAGGATGACGTGGTGTTGAAGTGGGATGGCTTGGTCGTGCTGCAAACCAAATATTAGCTCTGCAGCTGCACTGTTTTTCAATTAAACTAGCTGAATGCTCCTTCAGTCGTGCATTAAAATGAAAATTTAATCACGCCAACGGCCGTGGCTGCGAAATGAATCACATTCGCTGACCTGAGCCTGAACCCTGAACCCCACGACTCGATCCGCGGATGGAAAAATGCGAGGCTGAGGCCGTGGAGGCGCATACGTATTGTGAGGAAATATGTAATTAAATTTTTCTCCCGTATGTCATGTCTTCGCCTCGGCCACGCTCATGCTTTTTTATGAAGGCTTCAGGGGTAATGGTGGTGCTTCAAACACAGCGGCTTCCAGGAATTGGACAGTAAATCACTAAAATCGTAGATTTTCTATTTACTCATTTGTAAAAAGCAGCTTTACTTTAGGCAAAAACCAAAGAACATCGTTTTGGGCTCTATTAGTGCAGATTGCGAATTGGTTTTTGTGTGTGCAACTTAACGCCACTGCTGAAACTTTTAACACGACTGTGTGCTAATGGGTAACAATTAATCGTTTCCAGGCGAAACTTTGCTTACGTGCCCGTTCATTATTTTAAAATGCGCATCACAAGTGTTGGATATATATTTGTTTATCGCTGGCTGCGACTTGCAGCCCGTTTAAAATGGCTGTGGCAAGACTCCGACCACACGCCCACATTTCCATGCCACGTGAAAAGGGAGGAGACCGCGCACACACGATTTTCCACGCTGATAGAGTGAATGGAAATGAATGAATGAGGAATTTCACTTACCCCCATTCGCAGCCCCCTCCACATCCACATCCACATCCACATCCACATCCGCATCCGCATTCATGTCCATGGCTGCCGCTTTCTTATCGCAGCTCTGGGCTGCGCGCTGCATTTATATTTAAATGTATTTAAACGACCGACAATTTGAGAGCATCGCCGTTGTCAGTGGCAGAGCTGCGTGGTCCCAAATACGGACTACGAACTGCGGACTGCGGACTATCCACTCATTTGTAGTCCGGCCAGGCCAAGGAGCCAAAGAGCCAAGGAGAAGGACTCCGGATGAAGAAGGATCCGCCCCCAGCTGCAGTCCCATTTGTTTGTGCTCTGCCGGCTTTGGCTTTCTCTGGGGTTTCTGGGCTCCGGCTGCTCGGGCTGTGATAAAAGTAAATATGTGGCATTGGTTTGCGGCCAGGCGGTTGCTTCGAATTCGGGTTTGGACTGGCTTGTTTTCCGCTGGAAGTGCGTTCTAGCGTAATTTTTAATTAATTCACACTCGGCCCGGATCGCCCACCGAATTAATATCCCGAAAACATTTCCATTGGTTATGGCAAACTAATTTAACAGTGCACGTTTCAATGCTCAAAAACAGTTATTGCTTTTCAAGGAATCACACCTAAATAAATATTATTTTGAGGCAAGAGTAAAAGGCATTAAAGTTCGCCCTACCCAAATCCAGATTTGGCCACGCTTCTGGCATACCCTGGAGCTTGTAGCAAGTTGGGTTTAAAAAAATGAAACAACACAAGCTGGTCGGATATTTGTTTAGTTCGGTTCGACTTTTCCGAGTGCAGCTAATTTCGTCGAAAAGTTGAATACATTGAAAACTAATTTGCGCTCGCAATGGAAAACAAGTTTCTGTTCTGGCAACTTTCGACACATCCTCCACTGCTGGCATTGCGTTTGAAATGGGAATTTAATAATTTGGTTCGGGTTCGGGTTCGGCAGCCAGCTAAACTAATTGCAGAATAAATACGAAAAATAGTAAATGCCAAACGCTTGCACGAACATAATTAACTTTCTAAAAGTAAACACAATCTTGACTGCCAACTCAAGACAACAGCTGTTAATGAGTGCAGTTTGCTGGCAAGTTTGTGGCCCTGCACCCGCAACTTTCACCATGGAGTCATTGTTCCCAATCCGAGTGCAGCTCCATTCGAAATTTACGCAGCTGGCACCCCGCAATCGCTGCTGACGCCCGCTTAGTTAATATTGGCCAAGTTTATGGCAAGTGGAAAAGTTTAGACCGAGCACCCAGCTCCCAGCTCCCACCTCCCACTTCCAGATTCCAGATCTCAGCTCCTGCCAGCAAGTGGCTGCAAGTGATGTGGGTAGCACTATTGATTTACCGTTGCTCAAAGCCATCTTCCGACTAGACCCGCTGACGCTAAAGCCCTGACATCAGACGTCGCGCCGATGTCGCTGTCGCTGGCCACCCCCTGCTCCCCTGCTCCCCTCCCTTCAGCAACACCATGGCCGTCGCCATGTCTGCTGCCAGCAGCAAGCGGAAACGGAAGTCGGAGCAACTGAAGCGGCCAGCAAAGGACACTCGCGCATCGAAGCGCCAACTCCCTGTGCCAGTGGAAAAGGTAAAAACCAACTATTCACGCTGTGTTTGAGGGAAAAGGTGAAGATTTTTTATAATACATATACATTCATATAAGTAATATTTAATGAAACAACATGGCCTAAAAAAAATAGTACTTAAGCTTCGACAAAGCCAATACTGCCGCTTCACTTACGTTAGGGTATTTCGACCACAACAAAAGCAATCGGTGTACATAGCTCGCAGTTTTTAGCCCTCGTCAGTGGAGTTTTCCTGCCGCTCGCTACTTGCAGGCAAATGCTGGACATTTTTACGGTTTGGCAAGTGTCAACAACACAGTAGCTTGAAAAGAACGAGGGGAAACGCTGTCAGTCCGTTCTAAGACAAACATTTTATTTATTGTTTCCCGGGAAAATCCGGGCGCGAAACCACCACAAATACGAGCACTTTTCCGACCACTATTCGAATTGGAATTCCATCAGAAGTGCAACAATTAGCTTTTTGAATGGGAAGTGCGTCCTATTTATGTGGCACTGTTTCACCAAAAATATAAAGTTGTATCGAATTTCTCTTATTGGCTTGGACTTCCAAATGGAGCCGGAAACATTGCACTTTTCTTGGTCATGCTTCAACCAATTTCATTTCGCTGTTTGATATTTCAGCAGTTTTGCAGTGTTGTGGTGGAAAAATATGCTGACACAAATTGATGCTATGGCTACTGCTGGTATTATTATCATCGACGGGTGGATGGAAAACAAAATGCCGCAAAATTGTGTGAAATGCTTCCGAAATGGGCAATAATGGGATTAGGCTGCGCATGGCAAAATTTTCCAAAAAATACACTCCGTATGAAAATAGTCGCAAATCGAATGGAAATATCAGACATATTTTAGATTAGTGTTCTGGTTGGGAAAATTTCAATCAGCTCTAAATGGTTATCTGTGTTTCGAGCCTTGAACTAAATTATGGCGCATGCCACATTCAAAGCCACCAATCATCAAAATTGCCAATTTCCAGAAGCTCTCGACCAGATTGAGCGACTTGAGCGCTCTGGGAGAAGCATTTAAAAATTGTATAAAAAATCCCGGCAGTCTTAAGCCTGCATTTGGCAGAAAAACAATGAAACTTGAGGCTGCAGTGCAGCAAAGCTCTTATCGAAATGGCAGACACAGTTGGGGAAAGTGCGGAGAAAGTTTTAAGCGTCTTTGCACGCATACAATTTCTCATGAGCAGCAAATACAATTGCACAATAAAAATTCACAGGACCCAGACGGGAATAAGAATAAGAAGTGCACTGAGACAGGCAAAAGGCTTAAGCGAAAAGAATTTTAAGAGCTCGCCGGCAGCCAAAGGTTTATTTGTTCCCTTTGCATCCAGAGCCAAAGACATTTTTTCCCCGCAGTCAAAAATAAAGAATAACCATGAAAACTGCGCCACTGCAGCTTTCTCATAATGCCTGACGCGTTTTCCAACTGCTGAAGCAGCTGTCATTTCATTAATGCTTTTATGGGCCTCCAAAATGTTGCAAAAATGAGTCCATCCAAATTAAAGGTAAAACGCCACAACTTTGCCCATTAAAAAAGCGGAGCTCTTGAGCTGAAACAATGGAATGGCCCTCCATTTGATGAACTCCTTCAAATGCCAATTAAAATAGCACCAGTTCGAAAGTTTAATACTTAAAAGGCCGAAAAGAAAACGGCGAAGAAAAGCACTGCAATGTTGCTGCTGACCTTTAATTGGAATCTATTTCAATGTTTCATTTTTATTGACTGAACTATGGAACACAGAATGGTAAATAAATTTTAATTTTAGTACTCGCAAATACATTATTTAAAGGATCTGGCTGCTGGAGGGGAGCATGCGGAGCGAAGGACAAAGCCATGCTAAGCCATAAAAATGTGTGAGGCAAATAAATTTTAAGTGAAATACTTGTAAATGAAAACAAATGTAGCACACATAAAACACAACAAAAGTGAAAAGAAAGATGGGGGCAGAGGGACAGCGGCTATGGGCCACAAAATTCTATATTACGTATACGCCATGTTCATGTGCAACTGTGTGTAATAAATATTGCAAGGACACACAAATAAGATCGCCAAGGACATTGGGAAATGTTTGGCTGTGGCTAAAAATTCGCCATAAATTCGGGCCTGGCATAGGCCCAGCAAAAGCGATAAATATCGAAAATCAACTAAAAATGACCAACAATGCTTTATTCAATTTGGCACAGAAGTGAGGGGAGGGCATTGCTTTTAATTGATATGCAGCAGGGGGCGACTCGTTTTCTGTGCACTAAACATAAATTTACAGAACGTATAATTTATGCTAAAATAAACAGAAATTAATTTCATATTATTTTTGCCTTGTTTGCCGCCGGGAAAATCCAATTCCCATGCACAAGCATAATGTTAGAAAAATGCTGAGTTGAGTATGAAAATTCCAAATTATTATCACTATTGTTTCAAAGCCTGAGTAACACAACACCACATTTCGATATTTCGATGGATTCAATTCAATTTTTGCACACGCGTGGGCTCATAAAATACCCAAACACTCAGTACACTGTGTAATTAAAATTAATAAAGCTCCAGCACGCTTCAATGTATCTTAATTCTTTCGTCCAGTTGGCCAATTGCCCACTTGATGTACACTTAATTAAAATGCACTTATTCCTAATTCACCATTGACTATCAGTTTCATGAAGTATTTATCTATCGGCCATCGGGCCATGCAAATTGCAAATTTACATATCTAATTACGACCACAAACAATATCGTGTAGGCACTATTAGAAATGTAAATTTGACAAATAAATCCAAAGACAATAAATTGCGAAAAATAATTTATAAATACATAAATAAATATTTCATATGCTACGTTGGCATTAACAGCTGTCGTCTTTTATGCAACCGCCACTGCCAATGAATATTCAAATAACAAACTTTAATCAATGCAATTTTTAGCCAACTCCCTCAGATACAAATGAATATATCCATATATCCCCGCTGCTGCTGCGGATAACCGCAGTCGGACATAA